GGCATTGCTTGGAGGAAAGAAGAGGGAAGACAGACAGGAGGTGGTTTTGCTTGGTTTTTGTTTGTTTTAAGGTATTTGGTACAAGCCTGCCACAGGAAGGAAGAACAAGGACTGATATGCAGAATCAACAGATAGCTACCCAAATGTCTGTCCTGGCATTTTGCCAGTTTGATATGACTCACACTGGCAATATTTTGATTAACAAGCTTTGGAAGGAGTTCAATATTTTATCCACTACAAGACCCATGACATATACTGTAAAAACACTGAAGTCTACTGTAGTTTGACAAGAAAGTATCAAACTGGTTTCTGGGTTTTGTCAAATATGTTTCCGCAGAAGCCTCTTCACAGGCCTATTCGTGCTACAATAGGATATGCTGCAAAAGGAGCAAAAAGAATAAAGTAGGCAAAAGCAATTTAAACCATTTCATAATGTTCTACACAAGGCTCTGTCCTAATCCCTTTCGCATTCTTTGGCTAAAAAGGCAATTAGAACAACCAGAGAAGAGAGGGCCCTCCTGTGAGCATAGCCATCTCATTGTTTTCTGCAAATAAAACACTTCTGCAAAATTGATCACAAATTACTGCATTTGTCTTTACTACAACTGAAAATGGGACTTTATAAATAAAGGTAGCAAAGTTGATATTTAGCAACCCAGCCGTGAAAGCCACAATATCAAGCAAGCCATGGTGATGTTTCTGCCTGTGGGCAACAGTCAGTTCTCAACACTTCCCTTGTGCTGTTCCAGCAAACCCCACGTAAGTATATTGAGTTGTTAAAGTGTTATGATCACATATCCATCTGGCTCCAGAAGGTCAGTTGTTTTTCTTTGTAAATACATTTTCTCAGGTGATTAACAGCTGTGGTTCAAACAAAAGAGAACCATGCTGCCTGCAAAGGAGCACCTTTTATCCCTGCCTAGAGCAAGTTTTACCACTAAAATACCAGCATGCCAATGGCTGATGCTACATTCACTATGGTGATGGAAACTCTTCTTAGCCAATGACTATAGAAAGACAGCTTAAGTCACTGCAACCATGGCCTCCTAAGGTAAAGTAGCTGCTGACAGGTAAAGCATCTGCTCCTTTTGCAGTCTGCTCTGTTTACAGCTGATCAGCACTGAGCCCTTCCTATGCCTGAACCCTTCTAACCTTCTAATTTGCCTCCCTTTGCACCCACTTTGAATATGAGAATCAGAACAGCCATTTTTTAACCTGTCCACATGGCTGAAACATGACAAATCAGGAGCATTTACTACAATAAGGTGATCCACCAATTATTTTCTGTGAAATTATAATTTCACTTATTTAAAATGCCTTGACTTCTCAGCATTCCTGACCTAAAACAAATGGATACACGTGTTTATAAATACATTAGGAACTGTAAAAACAAAACCAAAGAGCGACTTGATTTTGTCCACAGTGGATGAGAATAAACAGTGGCATATTTAGACAGTCTTGAAAACTGAATAAGCAAGCAAAAAATAGAAGACAGCAAACACTTTTACACATCTGGTTATGTATAAAGGCCCACCTCACACACAAGCATTTGGGCTTGGAAGCTCTTATTAGCTTTCCTCTGTCATTTCTTTCAAAAAAATAAATATTTTAAAAAAAGAGGACACAGTCCTTCCTGAACTGCAGACAACAAAGATGTTATGCACAGCAAAATATTAAAATATTAGATGTTTAATGCTCAACACAATCCAGTCTTTTCCATTGCTGACATTCTGCAGCTGCACGCAGTCTGAAATTCAAGATTAATAAATCTGTATATGAGGAAACAAGTCATTAGCATGTCCAGTCAACTTCCTCAAAAAGCCATGTATGATTCTTAGTGTCCCAGGAGCCCAGAGACAGCCTGCAGAGCTGCAGTGGCAGAAGGGATGTACAAAAGGTTGTCCTGAGCATACACACCAAGAAATTCAAACTAATCACCTTCCCAGTTACACCAGATCTGCCTCGTTTGTCTATTTCAACTGATTCACAGTAAACTCAACCCATCCATTTGCAAGTCTGTGTTATAATTTTAGCCACAATGGCTCTGAGTGACTACACTAACACGGGTAAATAAAAACATAACACTACTGTCAAAGACAACAACAACTAACACATAATCAAACCAGAAAGATAATGGGTGAACAAGTGTCAAAGAACAGTATTATTAATCTCATATCGGGTTCAAAGCCATAGCAAAGAAGGGAACTAAAATGATATGAAGCAATAAGGCATAACAAACCAACCACTCTACTCGCTAAACATGTACACATGTTTATCTTATTGTTATCTTACCAGCTGTAGCCAACTATTTTTTTTTTCACAAAATGTACAAGATCAAACTGTCTGATAACAGTGGGAGATACAGTTGTGAGAAAGACACCACTGAAAAAAAAATCCTCACTGCAGAGAAATTCAAAACTGCTTTGCAGCAGAAAATGCAGATCACCAGTATGGCTTTTCTCCATACATTATGTCATTTTGCTTACAGAATATGAAAAAATTAGTTAACATGTAAAACCAGCAATATTATAAAAAAACATTGGAATGTTAGGTCTAAAATATTTGTCATTTTACCACCTTAAAAACATTTATTAGAAATAAAGATAAGCTTCACTTCTTGTAGTATGCTAGTTAACTGTTCAGCTGCCATTAGAAAAGCAAAATTGAAGTTATCAACCACTCACAGTTTTTTAGCTTTCATTACCCTCCTGATACAGTGGAAATCTATCATATACTCCTGTAAGTATTTCTTGATCTTTAGAAATAATTGTTACCAATAGGAATAATACAGAGAGAGATATGTGAAAGAGCTTCTTAAATCTTGGTGGGGAAAAGCACCCAAAAATAACACAATGATACGAAGAATTACACAGAAACCCTATTTTAAGAAAGTATCACATGCAAAAGCTTCAACAGTTGCATTTAAAGTCTAATGCTGCTACCACAAATTAATTACAGGAATAAAAAAAAGAAATTCAAAACCATACCTTTAGATATAGCTTTTGGTTTTGAATTTGTTGAAAGAAGTCTAAAAGTCTAACATATAATATACAAATATATATATGCCAGCTTTTTTATCTTAGAAAAGATTACAGAGCCTTAACGAGTTTCACTTCTAAAGTGAAAGTTTAGAAGTTTTAGAAGTTTCACTTCTAAAGTGAAACTACATGGTAAACTTTGCCAGTTGATAACATTCTAAATACAAACACAATAGAGCCAAGAACATCAAAGGAAATCTAGTCTCTTTTCTTACATGTTGAAAAAATCTAATCTATAGCAAGATCATGTAATTTTTTATATATTTTCAATCACATAGGAAGACAAAAAGGTATGCTGCAAACAAAGCAACCAAAACCCACCAGAGTAGCCTGATTTAAAAAAAAGGAAAATAAAAAAGATCATAGCTTTTAAGTCAGAAGTAAGCTTTGAATTTCACTTGCAATTTTAGTGTCATTGAAATTACTTAAATTCATATTTTAAATAACAGCTGAATTTCAGAACTGCTTTGTCACTACAGCTCCTTATACAGCAGCACTTTAACATAAATACTTGCAAAAGGCATAACTTTGTAAGAAGATGAAAGTCATATATATTTGAAATATACCTACCTTCCCAGTGTTTTAGCTGTCTTCTCACACCAACTTTCTACTTGTGAAATTAAGTGTCATGAAAATTAGGTGTCATGAAAAACTTCAGTAGCACAATGAAAAAACACAAACACCAGCAGAAATTTTCTCTATCTAGGCTTTCCAGTCAATTTTTGATGTGCATGCCTTTCATCCTTGCCCCTCCTCCTCCCACTGTAAATCTATTGTACACAACAGGCAAGATGCCCCAGAATACTTCCCAGATGTGGTATGCTTGCTCCAGTCATGGTACAAAAAGCCAAAGAGAGCTCACACACTCACCCTCTTTAAGCTGTTTCTAGAATCTCTTGGCTGTGTTGTGAAAAATTACCAGAGTAATCAGAACAACCTATGGTACAACAAACACTCAAAAACAAAAAAAACTCTGTTCCATCCTCATGCAGTTGTTTCTCCCTGCAGCAAGCTTGCACTACCAACCCAAGCAAGAACTTGCACAGCATGCTAAAACTGAAGTAGGCCTATGCTGCAAGACACATTTCTTGCTCCTAATGTTCCAGGTGAGAGAGTTTCAATTGCACATGGTATATATGCCTAGTTTTCTGTTGAGTTCAGTCATCTTCCTGCTCTGTTGACTCAGCTTGACAATAAATGAAACAGATGATGCCTGAGATAAAAGTAGCACAGTGAGAGAATGTGCATTTGCCAACCATAGATAGAGACTTCAGAGCATTCTGGATAATAAATAACTATGTGTTCAAAGAAGGTAGTAAAAAATCAGGCATAATAATTCAAGGAAATATTGATGAAACTAGAAAGAGAAATACTGCATCTACCAATTCAGGTCTCTATTTGTAGTCCCTTTGTCACATACCAAGTTCCTCAGCTACCTTGCAAACAAGTTCCATCTGTTTTCTTCTGGATTATTTCTGTTTGCCATCATTTTGTACACAGACTACTGAAAGCAAGGTTAAGTTATCTCAACACAATGGACAACACATCCCATTGACTGCTTCGGGGAAAAGAGATGGGTTGAACTTCATAATTTTCAGATGTCTGCATGTAAACAAAGTTTCTGAATAAAAAGATGGAACCGACTACAGTAGGGAGAAAATTCTCTTAACAGAAACTTCTGCTTTTGTTACGTCAAACACTACTTAGTCTCTACCCAGGAGATATACACAGGTGATTTAGAGACCATTTCTGTGGTTTAATCTTGGATAGACTAAATGCAAAAATTAATTACTACTCAGTAATTGAATTCATGTGGAGGAGTTGAATATTTCTTGCCTCTGTGACAGGAATGATTATTAATGCACAGAACACCATAAAAATGCTGTGTTCTCGGGTTTCCTCCAAAGCCCGTTTGTAATAATCAAAATACACCAACATTTTTAATCCTGCTTTTATCCTTACCTCAGCCTTTCCTCTTCTTTCTTACGAAGGCTGAAATCTCGCTGAACCACCTGGAGCACATGCTCTGCTTCTTCGTCAGTCAAGCCAGAAAGGTCCAGTTTTCTCCCCATTCTACACTGGGTCCTGGATATGAATAACTATAAGGAATATCTGAAATCAGAAAAAGAAAATAAAATAGAAAAATAAATTGAAAGCAGTCATAGTTTTCACAAGTGCGTGGAGATCACAGGCAAAAAAAGAAAGTTGCTGCCATAAACATCAGAAAACATTTGAATCTTTTTGTCTGGAAAACACCTTTTACACTGAGTCCAGCCACTAACCCAGCATTGCCCAGTCCACCACTAAATCATGTCCCTAAGTGCCACACCTGCACATCTTTTAAATGCCTTCAGGAATGGCAACTCAACCACTTCCCTGGGCAACCTGTTCAAATGTTTGACAAACCTTTCAGTGATGGAATCACATCTAAAATCCCATCTCAACTTCCCTCGTACAACTTGAAGGATTCATTTCAGAATTATTTGGCAGGTTCCACGCACTGAAAGCAATCACCCCCCATTCAAATATAAATGAAAAAGATAAATTATTTGGTATAATAAGAGATGCTGAGGACAGACCTCAGTGTAGCTCTCAAAAAGGAACATGTTTAACTAAGTCAGGTCAAATCAGGTTTATACATTTCTTAAGATTTTATAAAACTGCTTGCAGTGCAATCCCTGCCACTGTGTACGAACAGAGAACATATTCTGCTGTAACACTCAAAAATGTTTTATACTGCCAACTAAGAAATCAGGAATTATTTTAAAGCACCATTTAAAAAAGTAAGCACATAAATTTTAAATGGATTTCCCAGAGTGACTGAAAAGATTTAGATAGCACTATCTATATTTAGATGTCACCACTATAAGGTTGGAGGAAAAAAAGAAGTAGTTAATATTATGTGTGAATTGAAGGTACTATAAAGTTCGAACTAGCTTGGTCCATTAAGTTTCACTAATGAAATTTGTTCTAATTTATTTTCCCATGACTTTTACTCATTTAATTGAATTCTCGCAAATTCAGCTTTCAGTATTAACTTGTGTCACTTGATTTATGCAATTATTTGGGCAATCACAGAGGTGTCCATCTCCACGTTGTGTTACAGCTTCAGAAGCATAAGACAGTCTCTGCATCTTTGTCATGAGCCCCCAGCAATGTACATAATAACCATGAACACACTACAGTTCCTAGACAGTATACAAGAGGCAACTATTACTGACTCTTCATCCATGGTGAGTGGCAAGTGGATGGGCTATGTAAAGCATCTAAGCTAGTTCTGGCTCAAAAAAGCACACTCCTAAGGAAAACTGCTAAGGCATACAATTAAGTGCTCCAAGTACTACTGAATTAGAAGCATGGGGGAAAAAGTCAGTTTTATTTTCTCAACATTTCTTTTGCTACTCAGATAATGATGTAGGATGTGGTTGGTTGGGTTTTGTTTGGGGTTTTTTTTTCGTTGGTTTGGTGGAGGTTTTTTTAGTACAATATTTACCTTCCTACAATCATCTTATTACCTTTCTTCAAACAAGAAAAACACACACAGACAGAAGGAAGGAACTGCTTATTTTTTGGTTAGGCTGTTTTGGTTAAGCTATTAATGAAGTTTAGAATAAACTCGTTGCTCAAGAAAACAACACTTCACCATAACCAAGCTGATGGCATACAAGCTTAGGTGGAATCAAGATGACAAGATGCCTCCAAAAAGATATACGTTCCCCATACAGATGAAAAAAAAGGTCACAATGTTCTGGCTTGACTCTGAATCTACTAAGGAAGATGAGGAGGAGTATTTAATAAAGGCTATAAAAATTTGTTTCTAAAAAAAAATTGATTTGCATAGAAGAAAAGTGCCAAAGAAACAAAGGACTGTATGTAGTCTTCATTAATCTCACTTGCAAGACCAAGATTATATATCAAAATTAAAGATTGGCTAAAACATAGTAAGGAACAACTGGCAAGATGTTTTTTTTTTTTTCAATGCCACACGTGCATAAATCTTCTCAAAATTTTCAATGGAATATTAAGATTTTCCTCTTATAAGAACCTTTTTCCCCTTTTAAGAACCTACAGTTCTTACACCAAAACCTCATTGAGCACTGGCAAGGAAAAGAAAAGGGTTTGTTGAGGTAACAGTTGGGTTGAAGCTCAAAGACAGAGCATGAAATGCCCTGGGACACATCCTTCCCTTCAGGCTTAGGGATATCTGCTCAGCTCTTCCCAAAGAAAGCAACTGAGTGCAAAGGCATCTCTGCCTTTCTAAAAGCATGGAAGGGCTTCACTACAGGAGAGCCACATCCATGGGGAAGTAAGCAGGGCTTTTCCAAGTAACTTTTTTCATGCATATACACTTAAAGGGAAAATATAAGATGCACAATAAAAGGAAATAAAACCTTTTTAAGCAATTCCTGGAGCCAGTAGAGACACCTCCATACTAGGGCTCCAGTCTTCTGAGACACGAGATGATGAAGGTAACTGGAATTTCATCTTTGATCTCCTAGTATCTTAACCATGAAGTCAACAACTATAATTAACATTTTCATAGTAAGTTCTCCCTTCAGGTCTTCATCAAAACCCTTTTGGAAATTGTTTAAAAACCAATAATATTTTTCCACAGATGCAAAATGGTCCACCAGTAAAGAAAATTGTCCCTTTGATTCAGCTGCTAGTGCTGATTGTGACAATGTATTAGAAAGGGGAAGTTTACCCCCAAGTTTGGGAATAAGTGGGCAGCCCCACCACCTCTGATTTTCTGGGGCTGGCAAAGAGTTCATTTCTAGTATATATGCTTTAAAATCAAAAGCAACTTTAACTTCAGACTTCCATGTGGTTTAGATCTCTATGGTATTCTCAGTTTGCATTCTAATACTACATTAACCTCTAAGGAATGCTGTGTGTTTTCCTAGGAAATAATTTTTCATCACATTACTAAATCACCTCTGATCTGGGAGTATCACAGCAGTTTATAAATATTTATGAACAATTCTCAAATGTCCCTTCTGTGGTAGATCCAGATTATGCATTTTAGAAATACACAATGGCAAGTCCTCTAGAGAAAATGCAACAAGTTACACTTAAAACTACCTTAAAACACACAAAATAGCTTCTAAGCCAAAAATAACTTCTGGCCTGAATTAAAATAACTTACATGAGGCTGTTCAGATGATTGCCTTCATGAGTACTTCTTTGGTAAATCTCAAACTGAATACAAAATCTAAGATCTCACAGACTTTACAAGGAATAATATCACTCCCTAGAAAACTTTTGCTCAACAAATTAAAACACTGTAACAGAAAAGCCTAGGCTTACAAGACACGATTGGGTACTGTTTGAGTAATACTCTAATCTTCACATTTCTTTCAGTCTATTTTAAAATCTAATTAAAACTTCCACATTGAAAACCTTTCTTGAGTTTAACCTTAAAACCAAAACCAAACCCCAGCAAAAGGAAAAACAAGCAAATGAAATGTTTTTCACGAACTGCAAACAATGCATGGTTTTAACACACACAAGGGCATCAACACAAGAAACAAGGGCAAGTAGTGCATTTCCTACTCACCCATATGACAGCTAAGCTGTTTAGACTTGGAGTCTCAGCAGATGATTAGCATTACTGGGAGGGTGGGGTGAAAAAAAAATTTTTTTGGGCTTAGTGACAGCTAATATTAAGACAGATTCTCGGCTTCACAAAGAATGACATTATAAAGTTAATTATGCAAGTGGTCACAATGAATATTGTACAACACAGACTTCTTAGTTTTATGCTGTAGGAAAGCAATCAGCACTAGTGAGGCTGCATCTGGAGTCTTGTGTCCAGTTTGACCTTTCCCAGGACAAGAAAGATACTTATGGCCATAATGATGGTAAAGGGACTGGAGCATCTCTCACAGGCAGTGATGCTGGGAGTATTAGGACAGCTCAGCCTGGAGAAGAGAAGGCTTGGGGGGGTATATACAGTGGGTATCTGGAAAAGAGCTCTCCAAACAAGAATATCCTACAATTCTTTCAATTTCTGAGCACATATTTAATCAAGATTTCACTGGTTGTCACAACCAAGTTTTGGTCTAAAATGTTGTTGATGTGCATTGATGAAATGTAACACCTGAGGAACCAACACCACAAGCTCCTTCAACCCAGTCATTTGCAATTGAAATATTTCATATACAATACCTTTCCCTCCCATAGTCTCAGCTTTAGAGTCACCCAACTCTTCATCAGAACTGTTCTACTCTGTTTTGCTACTCTACCACTTCAAAAATTTCCAGGTAGAAAATCAAGAAGAAACCTACTAGCAATTATATCTTTGCTTCTGTCATCAACAAGCTTATCTTGCCTTCCTTTAGCAGTCTGTCAGGACCCAAATAATACTGCTCAATCTTTCTTGTCATTCTTTCCAGAATTCTTTTAGTACTATAAGAAATTCCTTGTATAATCTTACTGGTTGAACATTTTCCCCTTTTAAATCATACAAGATAGTCACCTTCCTAAGACAGAGAGGAAGATGAGCACTTTGTCCTCAACAGAGCTCCTTCACCACTCTTGTATTTTAAAAAGTTTTGTTTACTGAATTGTCCAAAATGTTGCTACTTTGATCATGTGAAGTCATTATGATAATTTTTAAAAGCAAATATCACAAAACGGTGACATAATGTCGTACTCTTCATTTGAAAAATAAAAGGTAATAGTTTGGTTAATAAATAAAAAGGTAAAAGTTTTGAGTTACGTCAACACACTTGAATAAAACAGACTTCAGCCACAAGCCAACATTTTAAAAACATCACTGTCCAAAGTAATTTCTACTACAGCTAGCACATCATTAAGTCCGAAATGAGGCATAATTAACTCTGGCCACAGATTTGTTAATCTTTTTTAAACTCCAAGAATGTCTAGAAGCTTGAGTAAAAAACATTGAGTATTCTTCTCTTTACACTCAAAATGAACAAATGTCTCAAAATAAGAAAAAGGAAAATATACTCATCAGAAATAAAAGGCCACCTCTTCGATTGAAAAATTAAATACAACCCACCTGACTTCAACATGGGATGGACTCATATCTGGTGTATCACATTTTAAA